CGTCTAGCACGTCAGATCTCTCTGTCTCGCACGTGAGTCGTGAGAAACGTGACCGAGTGAAAGTTCATTGACCTCGCGACGTCAACAAAGAAAAGTAAACAAACACTTCAAAAGCTTATATCTCTGAAACTAACCACGCGATCGACTTGAAACAAAAATCGTTATATCTCTGTAACTAATTATGCTATTGACTTGAATGAACGCTCGTTTTAAAAGGCGTTTCATCCTCCATACGATGAACATAACAACTAATATAATTTATACTATCTTCTATGTTTATTTTGATATCTACCTCGACACTATATACCTAAAGAAGTTTCATCACTTCCTATCTATTATACGACTGGTGTGCGATACAATCGAATTACAAATTGTTTATTCAATTGAAAATGAATTTGAGTTTATATACAGGATATCTGCATACTAGTATTTTTTCTCTGAAACCAACTACGATATCAACTTGAAATAAGATTCGTTTTCATAGGAGTCTCCTCATCTTTCATTCGATGAAAGTTAAAAATCTTCACTTAAATTGAAATTATTGAACATCCTGTAGAAACCCTGGACTAGATAAGATTCTCGATCCTTTCTCGGAGGCTAGTCCTCGGAACTTCGAAGACGGAAATGCAGATTTAACGACCTCCGACTCTTCTCGCGGAGTACGCAGAACAGCTGCGCGAGGAGGATCGAGGGAAATGCGACTAGGCTAATCTCCCGTTAATTGAATCAACCGAGCGCAGCCGCTTCCTGGAGCGCGCCTAAAACCTTTTCCCTGCATCCGCGTAATTGTCTGCTCGGCCAATGCGCCGAGTCAATGAGGTAACGAATTAGAGACGAGCTGAAAATATCTCTGGGCACGCTGGGGACGTCCCGATCGTTCGAACGTCCTGGAGGACGACGTCGATTCGAGCAACCAGCGACAATACATTCGCCGTGACGCTTGTAATTAGAGAGAAACTTGACGATTTAGTGGCCATTCGCGCTACGCTTCGTTGGTTAACCGGTAACTGCGAAAGACACTTTAAGGACCCTCTTAATGCACCTGACTACAACGGCTCCCTGACGGCGCCCGCCATTGCGCAACCGTGTCGGAGCGAAGGATTCGAGGATGAGCGCAAGGATGATAATTGTCTGGCGGCTCGAGAAGCTAGAGAACCGTGGAACGGGAAACCGCTAAAGCGTTCACAGGGAATTCTGTACGAAGTGTCGATGAATACTTGATTAATTAAGGGAGGAGCGTGCAGCCGGAAATTTTGGAAAATCCCCGGGTTTCCCTGTACAGTAGAAAATAAAACTCGCTAAGGAGACCCTTACAGCCCATTTACGTGATTTTTTCACCGATTGTGGCGTGTACAAGTTTTGCATTTATGCTATGGTAAATCGGTTTTTTTTTTAATGAATTGCAAGGTAATGATTGTGATATTATGTACATATGTTGAAAATATTATAATCGATTTGTGAAGAAGACTGCTGAGAAAGGAGATCGATAAAATTGTCGGAATAAATAGTTACCCTTATTTTTACTAAATACCTTCACAGAATTGAATGTTTTATATTTGATTTATCTACGTACACAAATTTATAAAAATTTGGTACCCATATGACTTACTATTTGGAAACAATACCGTGGGGATGAAACGCCCCTAGTTCCTCTAGGGATGGGGGTGAGAAATAGTCGAAAATGACTGATATTATTGTCGAATTCATAGTTTTTGGGGTCGCTAGGCTAACTGGACACGATCTCGATGAAATTTAAGTTGAAATTTAATCGAACAGAACATTTTGGAAATTTTTATAAATTTCTTCTAGAAGAAACTGAACGCCCAAGAAATCATTTTCTACTGTCTTTATGTACTGTGAAATCATTCATCTTCAGATATTATTGATCGTTTATTCGAACGGTATATTCGATATATGTTTATTTTAGAGAATCGATCAACAACCCCTATCGTGTAAATGGGTTGTAATAGTTCAAGTTTGACCGAAATTACTGGTGGAAAATCAAATTTTATTTGTGTCATAGCTTTATGATGCGTAGAATATTTAATTGGTAATTAAAATCAATGTTAATATTATTATACAAATAAATTGTGTTTGATCAAGGAACAGACCGATTGAAAAGAGACAAAATTAAGCGATCATGAACACGTTGTAAAGGATATGTAAATATCTAATATTATTATTAATTTATGATCAATATTTAATATTACATATTTATGAAGTAATCTTCTTTTTACATCTTTTTTTTTTAACCTATTTATTCGTGATCTTTGACTATAAATTGAGTCTTGTTTATTCTATAAATGACTCTGACAAATGGATCGAGACATTAGATAAATAGATGCTCGTTTCAAGATTGATTATTGATCTTTTCTATTCTGACATATGGCTCATTCGATGGAACCTCGCATCTAATATGCTTCATAAATTCTCGATTCAACTTCACGTTCTGCCGTAGTCATTCAAGTGGTTTCATATTAAAATCTCCTTTCTTACGATGCATTTTTAATATTGATTCTTCTATAATTTTCATTTATTATATCAAGGCACTAAATTATCAATCTCTTTCCATGCGAAACATTCCCATACCATTAAAGATCCTCCAACAATCTTTAAAATTGGAGTAATAAATTTAATTAATAATTATCTCAGAATATTTATATATTTTTTAGCCAAATCTATTCTTTCTTACTTGTTTTATTAATGATTTGATTTTAGTTTGGAAGTATCTGTATTTTGTACTTTTCGTAAATGCTTAGTTCCAATATTTCTATAATTTTTTGTGGTATTTTAGGATGATACATCATTTCTGCCCAGAACCTCTCAAATTGTCAGCATTGCTTAAAAACTACAACAAATGTTTGTAATAAATTTCGTCAACTGCTTTGATTTATTCCAATGTACATTTTGCAGCTACAATTTATTATAAATGTAATAAAGCCAAATGAATGATTCAAGCTGCATGTTTCAAATCTCTCTATGTCTAACACTCCAAATGGCTATGTAACGTATTAAGTTAAACAGAAACGTGTAAGTTTGGATACACCATCGTCTCGTCTACGTGTTGCTTAGGGAAAATGCAAGATGGAGCATAGGTCACAATTAAGTTTGACTTTCTAAAGAACAAAATAAACCAAAATTCTGGCAATCGTGAGATCGATCGAACAGAATATTAGGAAAGTACCTTCACAGCACAGTAATCTACTAACAACATACGAACACATGATCATACGGCAACTGTACTGCGAAGGAACTTTCCTCGAACCATGCAGGGGGAAATTGAAAAGCATGTCTGGGGATTAAAAAAATATTTTTGAAAGCTCTTGCAAGTAACATGAAAGAACATACAATGTTGGAATAGTTATATGCAAATGGGGACTATTGAGAATTAAAAAGACACCGAGATGGTAACGTTTATGTAATCAATTTTTACACAATTTTTGCAAACTTTATCGACTGCTTTCTCATTAACGGATGGAGCCAAATGTTTAGACTGTACCAAAGTAGAGTAATTCCGTCTAGGGGGTATTTATGATCGCCTGATAACTCGTAATATGCTCTATGTTGCAGTGATATTAAAAATATTACTGCTACTATAAAAATACCACAGTAGATTCAAATTTATTTCAAAATACTTTCAGACGTATTTAAAAAGTTAAAATTTGTTTGTAGTCAACGAATATAGTTTTCATATCACTGTCATGATTACATCAAATTACTAAACACATCAAAAAGTATGATACTTAGTTGTGCATACGAAATAGTACACTGTTACATATGAAATAGTATATTCTTGAGAAAAATGAAACTTACTTTTGAATAAATCCATTATAATCAACAAGAGGTTTTCTATCATAAAATACATCCTACATATTATTTAGTTGCTCAGATCTTCATTGTACAGGAAAATTTAACTTTCTCAACAATATTTGGAGTACCATTTATTCTCGTTTTTTTTCTGCCTTTTAACGCGTTCAGTTATATTTGAATGAACTTCTTCAAGTAGATTCTCAGCTCCAGCCGAAATTCAGAGTAAACTACCCACTTTAAGGAATTATCCACTCCATTTTTATTTTGGTTTTACTTGTGGCGTTTCTTAAATTTTGAAGAATTTTTCATTAAAGTTGTCTTTTTTTATTAATACCCTGCCAAACATAATACTAATCAGTATACAAGGCGATCAGAAATACTCCAACTAATCAGAATTACTCTATCTCGCAATATTCAGCACAATAATTCCGAGCATCTATTTGTCTCCTTTAAAGACTTCTTTTCGCGAGATCACCAATTAATGATTCAATTTCAATTTTGTCTTTTTCTTTGCGGAATTAACCTAATCAATTTTTTTAACGTGACACTCGTGAGGATAGAATTTTCTTTTCGCGAGATCACCAATCAAATATTCAATTTTAATTTTGTCTATTTCATTTCGGAACTACCCTAATCAATTTTTTCAACGATTAGATCGCGGATTCGATACGCTCGCGGTTAGAAATTCATCCGTGTAGCGGAAACGAAGCGAACGAGGAGGTAGAAAGAATGTTTCGGAAGACGTATCCGGGTTATACGTGCACACTTAGGGGGCATTCTTTATTCAAGGGAAAGCTGCCGGGCCAATATTCATTCTTGTCTGCGTTGTTCTGGCAGGCATCCAGTTGCTCTGAGCAAGGTTACTCACGAAATTCGCTCGAGATTTATGCAGCTATTATTTCCAGCAAAATGCACCGTGGGCTCCCCTTCTAAACACGAACACACTTCATAACCATTCGTTCCCGCGCGCCGCTATCTTCGCCGCTAATAACGCGCCATTAACGCAACGGTCGCGACGCGAAAATGTGGCCAGGCCGCGGTTAGGCATTAAAAGGGAATCAATGTCTGCCGGAGAGGGGGAGGGGGTAAAAAAGTGCAAAAGACCTCGTCGATTAAGAAGTCGTTCGTTCTTTAAAGTGAAACAGAAGATTGAAATTCGTGCAACGAAAGGTTTCTTTTTTTACAATTACCTTTGCTTGCTCGGTGGGATGCCGTCTCCTTTCGATATTGAATTTCTGTTGATTTATCTGGGGAAAAAAATAGCAGGATTTGATGTGCGCGAAGAGAAGGTTCGAAGTAGAATTGTTTTTTTTTTTACTTTTTTTTTTGTTTCTTTTTAAGATCGCAATAAATAATTCTCCCGCGTTCGACGCAATCGAAACGAAAACGACGAAAGTGTAGCTCTCTAGTTTAAGAAATATCTCAACTACTGGCGTTTGTAGCGCTACAAAATTAATACGAAAAATCGCTCGGACGAATCGAGAGGCGAAAGAAAACAGAAGACCGCAGGGAGGGAAAAAGGAACGGCAAGGAAACGAGAGAGCAAAGTCAATTGGCGGAACGTGAAAGAACGTTGGGGGAGGGATGAAAAAAAATAGAAAAAAAAAAAGAAGAAACGAAGGATTCGACGAGCCAGCGTCGCACGGACGAATTAATTCGCGGAACTCTCGTCGGAGATGCTCGACCGCATTTCAGTGCAGTTCCTAAGCCCCGAAAGCTCGAGCGTTTCGAAAAGTACGAAGTTCGACGTGCGTCGCGACACGCCTCGAAAGTTCGAGCCTTTTGGGAATTTCAAACGAATCCCGTAAAGGGACGATGGGAGCTCGTTAAGTACCGCCAATACTTGTAACACGCCCACGCGAAAGATTTACCGCGAAACGATGCACCTGTAACGGAGGCCAACCCTCCTGGAAACGCTCCCCCAAGCTGGGGCAGCGTTCGCCCCTCGATCGCGATCAAACGACGCATTTATTTCGTAATTATTACGAGTGGTTTCGAATATTAATATCTCGTGCTACGCAATCGTGATAGTTTCTTTCCGAAACATTTCCCGATGCAAGCTCGAGAAGCCATTTCTCGCTGTAACTACACTGTAACCAACGCGAATTAAATTTTGTAACCTCTACTATATCTGGACGGATTATTTGAAACGAGAATACAAAGTTTACGGAACGTTATTTGGAAATAATCGAGATATCGATTTATTTGAAATAATAAATAGTAAGTTTATTTAATATTTGCAAATAGAAAGTATAATTCTACATTGTGCATTTTAAATTGCAAATACGACGATGGATATGAGAAATATCAACCAAGTATATTTATCCGTCGTTTCGATGAAACGGAATTATCATTTTCGAAGTTATTTGATAAAATAACGTAAAATAATCGTGAGATAAGATGACACGTTGTATTTCGTACAATGTTATTTCAGAAGTACCCAGGTCTGATGTCTCCTAGCCAATGAACTTTCTATCTACGATCCTGAAACACCCTTCGCGAAAATTGTTATTCCTGCGTTTAAACATTTAAAATTCATTTCGTCTTCGTCGCATGATTAAGAATCGATGCTAACTCGTCAGCGAAAGCACGAAAGTTTTGAAGTTACAGGTTGTCATAAAACTCAAACAATCTTCTCGTAGATTTCTATAACACTGAACGATTTTGGCAACCTAAAGTTCCGAAATTTCGAAGCAGTTTTCGCCGAATCTTTCTGGAAGAGTGAAAGTTAACTGCAGTCTCGGGACACCAACTTTTCCAGCCAGCTACGACACGAAGCATTAAACGCGCAATGAAGAATTCATCCTGTTAATAACTTAACGCATCTCCCCTGTAACGAAAGCTCTTCAAGATTACCGAACTTGTTATTTAACGATAAAATACGACGCGAGGCATCGAGTGCAACTTGAGATATGGCGTCTACGATGGAACGAGAACGATGAAATTCTACGAGAATCGGGGTAATAAATCCGAAACACTAACTTTTAATGAAAGAAAGGTTTTATTTCGAGCGTACTATTACTTCCACTCTTGTTCAAACTTCGAACAAATTATTTTAAATCGATCGTATTACTCTGGTCGTCTGCTACATAAATCGTACCGTTTGACTGTTCCAATATACAGTGTGTTTTCGAACCAGTGGTGCAATCCGAAAATGGTCAAATCCGCGAGAGAAAATAAGTCGAAAAAGTAGAGTGACATTTTTCGCGCGAAACTTCATTTTCGAATAAATCGATGTTGAAGATTCATCGAGTACGCGAGCACTCGACTATGCTGCAGACGTGTCAAACCGATTTTGGTTCTCGAGCCAATTTACGCGTTGCTATCACGGGCCACGGAAATGCAATTACTTTGCAACAGTGAAAAATATATTAAACGTCACTTTTTACTTTCAATATTATCTCCATCCAAGAATTATTTATTCAAAATTCAATTCAAAGACTATACTTTTTACTTATTTTTTATGTAGATTTTTAGCCCCCTTTAGTTTCGAGGATTCGAGGATTCTGTATGTAAATGCCAAGTGGTATCACATGTCGTGACGTTTCAAACATAAGTACCGTCCAAAGCGATCATATTATCGCTAATTGCGTACGCATAATAAAGCAAGTGTGGCAAGGTATCGAACGAAATGCGATGTACATAAAGTCCATGGAAACAGAACGCTGGTCGTTGTATACTTAACAAAATATCACGTCGTGCAAACAGTCATTACCATTGTTATGGCACAATTTAAGCGTGCCAGGATTACGAAAACACACGATGAACACCAATTTATCATCCGCAAGATTAGAATTCGACAGACGAAGTTCGCGCCAGAGGAAAAGAAACTTTTAAACGATGGATTGTTCAGAGTAAGAAATATCCTTGTCGAGTGTGGAGAATTCCAAACATACTGTCTTCTTTCGAAGAATTTACATTCTACACAATTTGTGTTATCAATCAGGTTTTAATTAATTAAAATGTCGAAAACATGACCATTCTCTTAAAATTCTTGGATAGCTTTGCTCTTCGTTTGTATTTCTAAGAACCTCAGAACAGTGCTTGCTCGATCGAAAGGCAAATTCTTCTCCGTGCAGAGACAAACAACGTCAAACCGTGCCCACACGAAAACTAGTGTGCCAATCAAGTACAAACACCTTCGACTCTAGCGTATGACATCGACCAATGAGAATATCTAACCGTTACCAGTGGAGACTCTCCAAGAGCATCGCTCGGAGTCAAACAAAGGAAGACAAACACTCGTACGGCTCGGTCAAACACAAGAGATCGCTGTCACACGCGCGGATAGTCCCCACGATCGCAAGATCCACAATTTTATATTTAGTTTACCACTTCTCGATGGACATAGTTTGTTACAAGAATTACTTCGACCAACTACAACATACTCCAACCGACTCCAACTTCTTGCTACACCAGTTACCATTCGAAGGAACTAACTTTTTCGTTACACGTCTCGTATACATCAAACTCGGTACATCACAGAGATATTCGTCTCCGTTTGTCGAAGTTTGAAGACCAAGAGTATCAATTTTATCAATCCTGTCAGATTTGTTCGTAGTTGAATACAGAGTTGTATCGTATGTGTAACCCCTTGTGAATCACACGATCCACAATTTGATACTTAGTTTACTATTTCTCGATGGACATAGTTTGTTACAAGAATTACTTCGACCAACTACAACATACTCTAACAGACTCCAACTTCTTGCTACACCAGTTACCATTCGAACGATCTAAATTTCTCGTTACACGTTTCGTGTACATCAAACTCAGTACATTACAGAGCTACTCGTCTCCGTTTGTCGAAGTTTGAAGACCAAGACTATTGGTTTGATCGATCCTGCCAAATTTGTCCGTAGTCGAGTTCTATCGTATATGTAACCCCTTTAAGACACACGATGATACAAATAAAGACTTCAAACTACGCCATTATTTGAAATCGACGTCCGTTTCTTGCCATCGCGAGCCGTCCACGGGCCAAAAATTGTTTTCGCCGTGGAGTTTGCTCCTTTTTCAGCGAGGGTACAAAACCGAGGAGACAAATCCCGCGAACGAGGAAGAGGGTTGAAAGGTTCGACGTATTTCCAGTCCCGACGCGACACGATTCAGCCCCGTGTTCGGAAGAAGGACTGCGGTGGCCGCGGCTCACGGTCCCACGGGAATTCTGATTACTGATTTACGAGGTTCCGGCCCTGAGAGGAGCAGATCCTTCGTTCGAGAAGGCAGGACCCGGTGCAGATGCCACGAACGCGCTCCGAGAGAGGTAAATCCTATCAGAAGTACTTAGAGTTCAGCATTGCCACTCTCTTGCTCCGTGGCTCGTCGTTCGTAACTGGCAGCGGTTCCACCCTAGTTAACTCCCTCGGCTCGTCCTTTATCTCCCCTATCGAGCTTGATTGGGCTATGACCAAGAATTAACTTGCCCCCGATGCATAGATGGTACGCTACTTGCACCACGGATACGCGTAATCGACGATGAAATTTTTTGCGTCACCGATTTTCGAACTTCAACGTTCTCGAAAATCTTCTTTTCTCCCCCATTTTTATTCTCTTCTTAAATTTGTATCGAAACGAGCAAAAATTTGGTTAACTTGGTAATGCAAGTCTCTTGGAAGGAAGAGACTCTAACTGACTTCGATTTCATGGAGCTTTTGTTACTTGATAAGAGGTTTCTAATTATATGTGTGAAATATTTGCTGCTTGATAGTTTTAAAGATATAAACGTTGAATTTTGAATACTACCCCATTTTTATTCTCTTTTTAAATTTTGTATCGAAACGAGCAAAAATTTGGTTAACTTGGTAATCCAAGTCTCTTGGAAGGAAGAGACTCTAACTGACTTCGATTTCATCAAGCTTTCCGTAATTGATAACAGGTTTCTAATTATATGTGTGAAATATTTGCTGCTTGATAGTTTTAAAGATATAAACATTGGATTTTGAATACTATACAGGGTGTTCGGCCACCTCTAGCAAAAATTTTAATGAGCGATAGTAGAGGCCAAAATAAGACAAAAATCAAGAATACCAATTTGTTGATGGAAGCTTCGTTAAAAAGTTATTAACGTTTAAAGTGCCGCCCTTACTGAATTTTTTTCTCGAAAATGCGCAAGATTTCGGGGGTATGTCTATTCACCAAAAATGACTGTAATTGAACCCTACAACCGAAAATAATTTTTCCACAACGATTTGCAATTTTTTTTCTCCGTTGAAAAATTTAGGCACCTAATTGGATTTTCAGTAAG